TGGAATAAGCGCTTCCCTGGCAAGCGCAAGGGCCTGAGTTCAATTCCTGGTTCCGCAAAAAAAACCCCAAGAGCAGCCATGTATGGTGGCATATGCCTGTATTCCCACCCAGTACTCAGGAGATGAAGACAGGCCAAGATCCTGTCTCAAAACACACAAGAGATCAAAACTTAATAGATCCTGTACCGTAATGAATTTAAATATGAATTCTAAAATTGTGCTTTCCTTCGCAAATGTGAAGATCCTAAGGCCCATTCAGTTGCAGGGACCAGAGACCATGACAGCTACGCTATATCTCCCTGGGCTTGGACCACTCTATTGTAATGAGGCTTTTTTCTCATACCTACCCTTGCCTTGTGATTCAGGGGAGCTATCTGCCCACCCCCCCTCCCAAATTCACTTTCTTTCAACCTTTTCAAAAAGCGAAAATGTATAAAGACAGAAACCTTGATTTCAAGGTGAGGTTTATGCTTGAATGGCAGAGATCTGGTAGTGTATGTTTCTAAAACTGGTTCACTAGGAAATGAACATGCTAATAACACTGAGCTCATTAAATAGGACAGGTGTAGCGGCACATATCTGTAACCCCACCTACTTGGAAAGCTGATGGAGAAGATTTCCAAGGTTGAGGCCAATCTGGGAAACTTGCACAACCTGCCTCAAAAATAAGGGAGGGGCTGGGCACAGTGGTGCATGCCTGTCATCCCAGCACTTGGGAAGCTAAGGCATGAGAACTGCTATGAGTTCCAGGCCAACCTGGGTTATAAAGAAAATCCAATGCTAGCCTGGACTACATAGTAGGACAAAAAAAAAAAAAAAAAAAAAATCTATGTTCCAGATCAGACTTTGATCCATAGAATACAGTTACTTCTTTTTCCAAAAGTAAAAAAAATTCAAAGAAAGAATAACACAAACAAATTTGATAAGCCAGGTGTGGTGGTGCATGCCTATAGTCCCAACCAACACTCGGGAGGGAGGGCAGGAGAACTGTTAAAAAGTTCGAGGCCAGCCTGGACTACATAGAAAGACTATCTTTAAAAAACAGAACAAATTTACTTTATACAAAGATACTGCTGGGCATGGTGGCGTATGACTATGATCCCAGCATGCAGGAGGCTGAAGTAGGAAGATTGTCCTGAGTTCAAGACCAGCTTGGGGGCCGGGGAAGATAGCTCAGTAGAATAAGTGCTTGCCTGGCAAGTGCAGGGTCCTAAATTCAATCCCTCTTACCGGGCAAAAAAAAAGACCAGCCTGGGCTATAAGCGAGTTCAAAGCCAGCCTGAACTGTATAGCAAAATCCTGTCAAAAAAGAAAGATTATCCAGAAAAATGTACCTACATTGCTATGGTATAAAGGAAAGTGACGTTTTTCTGATCTAACAATGACTTTTGCTAAGGGAGTGAGCTGAGGCTGGGTGGAAGAACCCTGAGTGTGAGCCTCAAGCCTGCAAGTCAGGGAAGAGAAGCTGCTAGGGCCTGGTCTCAGCTTCTCAGCAGACAGCAGCTGGAAGATCACTCCAGCATTCAACATAACATTCAAGACCAGTGAGGGGAATATATCAAGACTTCTCAAAAAAAAAAAAAAAAGACTCAACAAAATAAACATAAATTAACAGTTTTCAAAGAAGTCAAGAGTTTTAGCAGTTGGAGTTGAATAGTCAAGTGCTTGCTAGCATGTAAGAGGCTCAGAGTTTGGTACAGAGCACCTCAAAATATATTTCTGTAGATAAAGGCAGGCCTTGAATTTACGGCAATGCCCCTCCCTCAGAGCCCTGAATACTAACACTATGGGGTGTACCACTATGCCTAGTGCTTTGTCTTAAGGGGCTGGAGATGGAACCCACTCTGCACCACAGGCAAGCAGCTTACCACAGAGCTATCCCCCGCCCAGTGATGGCGAAGTGTTTAGAGCTTTCAGTAACACCTGGCTGTGGCATGTGTGCCTCAGCTTTGCCATCACTGCCTCGGCCCCACAGTAGTGCAGTTGTCAAGACCAACATTCTAACATCACAGGAAGTCTAAGTTGTAACACTACCTAGATCCATCTTTTGTGTGTGTGTGTGGCTGGCTCAGCCTGCCCAGGGGGCATGGGCTGGCGCAGCATGTGGTGCCAGGGACTGAACTGCGGCCCCTGTGCTTATCTAAGCAGGGGCTTTAGACTGCTGAGCTATCTCGCCGGCCCTATATCCATCTGTTGTATGAATTCACGCCTATTTTTCTTTCACCACTCACTTCCCAGCTGAAGCTAGACTGGAAAGGGAGACAGAGACAAAGACAGAACCAAGGCACACCTGAAGCCTGCCCACTCCAGATCTCTGAGACAGTGATTTTCTCTTTTATAAATTTTATTTATTTATTTATTTATTTATTTATT